CTTAACATTACGAGGCGTGTTTTATTCTTTGTGTATTTGTGTGCTCCTACTTATATGTGTTTATTCCGCATTATTTATTGGCATCATTATTTCTAATTGTATTAAGTGTGTACCGGTACGACATCTGCCATACTGTAAGTTGAAGATTGTAATTTTATTTTATTTTATTTTGTAATTATCTTAAGACATAATAAATCTTAATTAATTGTGACTAGAAACTGTTTTGGGTCGTATCCTTAATATTGTTGATTATATGGTATCGTCCTTTGTTAGGCACTGTTTACAACGAGCCAATTAAAATTAAAATAGGAGATTAATTTCTCCCAATACAAGTCAGTGCGTAACAACGTTAGTGTTATCATTGCGTCAATATACGTTAGTGTTATCATTGCGTCCATATACGTTAGTGTTATCATTTGTGTCCATATACGTTACTGTTATCATTGCGTCCATATACGTTAGTGTTATCATTGCGTCCATAAAGGTATATTATATCATCGTGCATTTTGTTTGTTTTGACCCGATATATGACAAAATCATTTGACGGCTAATTGATCCACTTCCCGCCAACATACGTAGCTGAAATATACTCGTTGCTGATTACACATTCTATTATATTTGATAGCCCCATATCTCAATACCAACCCAAAATATTCGGTTTTTCCTATTTTTTTCTGGGGGAATATGAAGGGAATAGGAGGACTCTGAGCTCACGAAATAAAATTCCCGATGACTGCACTAAGAGCGTTTACTAGGAATATTTATATAAATGTATATATATATTTAAACCAAAAAACAAACAAACAAAAACAGCGATGTAAGAGCGCGTGGTTCATTAGAATACTAATATTAGTTCTTGGGCATGAAATAAATATGTGTTTGCAGTCTTTAGGGAGAAGAAATAATTGGAGTTCTAATAAAATGCGTTCCTTGAATCTAGCTTTGTCAAAATCGGTGTACCCCAATCCCCATTAATCAATATTAAAGTAATTATGATTGTTTGTGTTGTTTTTTTTATATGGATTGTTTGATTTAATTTAAGATTTTCACAATTTATTATTAATCAACATTCATACTTTTTAAATGACATAAATCATATTTTACATGAAATACAAACCTTTAAACTTAAATCTGTTCAGACATTTCAAGATTTAGGATTAGAGAATTTCAATTTTTTTATCTGTGCAAAAGACAAACATTGTTTAACACTGTAATGTCTAGACCATTGTTTTATTAATAGTGTATGACCTCCTTACTAAATTTAATTTTACCAGAAAAGTTCTACAACCACATTATTTTTAAGCAGATTATGATTACACAATGGGATTGAAATTCAACCACCACATTATTTTTAAACATAGTAAGAGTACACAATGTAAATGAAATTCAACCACCACATTATTTTTAAACAGATTATGATAACACCATGGGATTCAAGTTCAAATTAAACTGCGCTGGCCCCAGTGGTGTGAGTGTATTTCAATACGAGTCTTCTTCAACTCAAGATGTTTTCTACATCAGTTTACCAACAAAACCCGTGTGCTCTGTTGTAAAACTAGACATTGTCTCGGGCGATCTTGCTGTCTGTGAGATTCAAGTATTTGGAGGTAATCATGTGCACCACACACACGAACATAAGCCATTACACATTACACATCTGTTGTTACTCAACGTGTGTAACCCTAAAAAAGACCTTCATATATTTGCCAACATAACTATTTACTCTCAGGAGCACATACATATGATTGCAAACATATTTTTTAACTCTCACAACACATGCATATATTTGCCAACATACCTGTTTACTCTCAGAAAAACCTACATATATTTTCCAACGTTATTGTTTACTCCAACCAAGACATACATATATTTGCCAACATACTTGTTTACTCTCAAAAACACACACATATATTTTCCAAAATATTTGATTACTCACACAAACACATTCATATATTTGCAAACATACTTGTTTACTCTCAACACCAAATACATATATCTGCCAACTTAAATGTTAACGCTCACAAAAACATTCATATATATTTTCAAACATACTTGTTTAGTCTCTCCAACACATAGATGTATTTGCCAACATACGTGTTTGCTCTCACAAACACATTCATAGTTTTTCCAACATAACTATTTACTCTCAATAACACATACAGATATTTTCCAACATGGTTGTTTACTCTCACTAATGCATACATATATTTGCTAGCATGCTTGTTTACTTTCACCAAAATATGCATATATTTTCCAACATAACTATTTACTCTCACCAACGCATTCAGATATTTGCCAACATACTTGCTAACACATACATATGTTTGGCAACATAAGTGTTGACATTCACCAACACACATATGATATAGTCTTAAAATGTACACAAGTTAACAAAATTACTTTTCAACTCTTTTCAAAGAACTAAGCAAACCTGTTTTCACATGTTAATATTAATGTAAGTACACAAAACAACTCTGCACACCTTACCAATCTGCTATTCATATTTTGTGTACTTGAGTTACTGAAAAAACGTTGCGTGCGAGAAAATACAAAACGAATTAAATCTCTTCGTTACTCAAATATTTTATTATATTTCATTTTCTTTCGAAATGTCAAACCGAATCTAGTGTAAGAAGCGTATTTTTATTTAAGCTTCCCCGCTACTCAAGATATATATAGAGTTATTTTAAACGGACAATTTAATTTAATGAGTTACCTTTTCACGATTATAAACCACCACCACCAACCACCCACCTTCTTCAGACTGCCCAAAGGAACAATATGGTTTGGACTGTGAGAAAATGTGTTCTAGTTCCTGTTTGAACTACCATTGTAATCACGAAGGTGCATGCTATCAATGTCACGATGGACGAATTGGGGCGTTTTGTACAAAAGGTAAGGATGGGGACGTTTTGTACTGAAGATAAGCGTAGGGAGGTTTTGTACTAAAGGTGACATAGTGAGGTTTTGTACAGAAGGTAGGCATGACCAAAATATAATTGGGAATAATATTAGATTATAGCGAATTGAAATTATGGATAGTCATTACTTTTGTTTTTGGTGTTTGATATTATATGTAATAAATTACATCACTTGAACAGGCAAATAATTAGTGAACAATTACATAGGAACAGCTTGATTAAATATGACCGGGTAGGTCTTTGACTTTATCAGGCTTTATACACGCAAGCGAGACAAAAGTTTAAATAATTCATAATCATATAAATAATATAATGCTATCCAAAATAGTTCCGTTATTAAAAATTGCCACCGAATTGGACAGCCCACTCGACCAAATTATCCAATGCAACCGGGTGTGGACAACCCACTCCTACTACCTCTCATCCAAAGCCACTGGATGTGTACAACCGACTCCTACTACCTCTCATCCAATAACACTGGATGTGGACAACCGACTCCTACTACCTCTCATCCAATAACACTGGATGTGGACAACCCACTCCTACTAACTCTCATCCAAATCCACTGGATGTGGACAACTCACTCCTACTAAATCTCATCCAATGCCACTGGATGTTGACAACCGACTCCTACTACCTCTCATCCAATGCCACTGGATGTGGACAACCGACTCCTACTAACTCTCATCCAATAACACTGGATGTGGACAAACCCACTCCTACTACCTCTGATCCAAATCCACTGGATGTGGACAACCCACTTCTACTACCTCTCATCCAATGCCACTGGATGTGGACAACCTACTCCTACTACCTCTCATCCAATGCCACTGGATGTGAACAACCGACTCCTACTACCTCTCATCCAATGCCACCGTATGGGGACAGCTAACTACAGCCTCTCATCCAATGCGATGATTTCTTTGAATAAAATTTCTTATATATAAAACAATAAATGTGACATGGTAAAATTTGATCCATTACATTTCAGTTGCGCTGTTATCTATATCGGTTTTCAAAATTTTAAAGAAATCAACCAAAGCGAATTTAACAAAAACATGAATTTCAATTGACACTTTTCATGTTATTTCGGTGTGAGATATTTAACAAGGAAAAATTATGCTAAAAATTAGTTTGGCTGAAAAAGGGAATTATTTTGATTTTTTATAAAAAATGTATTCAATATTTGACGGTTGCATGATCCACTTCTATGTAGATGGGTGTATCTGAATTTTATTGTGTTTCGTTTTTGTATTGCAACAGATGATCCTCGTGTACAGCAACATAAAGGTAAATAGTTGTGTCAAAAGATAAAAAGAAAACAATGTTTTAATTCTATAAATCTCTAAAAGTGAAATTGTTTGTGAAATTGTTTGTGGAATTGTTTGTGGAATTGTTTGTGGAATTGTTTGTGGAATTGTTTGTGGAATTGTTTGTGGCATTGTTTGTGGAATTGTTTGTGGAATTGTTTGTGGAATTGTTTGTGGAATTGTTTGTGGAATTGTTTGTGGAACTGTTTGTGGAATTGTTTGTTCCGCAAACATTTTTACATGGTTTGACAGATCTTAACGAAACTGGAGACACATATCCATCTTTATCCATTATAAAACACGGGGTGATTTTGAACTTCAAACAACATTTCGTGTGGTTTATTGGACCAAATTTTAGTCTTTTTTGTGGGTCAAATATGAGGTATATCAATAAAATTATCAACACATTTCCATTATGAATAGATGGATCGTGACCAAACTTAGTACAATTCACTGAATTAAATATATTTAAATAGCGATTGGTACTGAGATCATAGCTTAAACATCTTATGGGGGGGGTGGGTGGGTGGGGGTGGAGAAATGTTTTATTGTTCCAGAAAAGCTATACAAATACAAATAGGCTGAGATAAACTTTGGGTACAATTCTAATTGATAGATCTAGGCCCAGCCTGGTAGCACTACATTTCTTAATCCAGGGCAGGCTTATCATTGGATATATAGGGACTGTAGCGTAATGATGACATTTGAGCTGCTAAAAGAATTGTATTTAATCCAAACATGTTCACATTTGCATCACTGTATTGTAGGCTCAGGTTGTCCCGAAGGAAAGGTGGGTCCACATTGCGATGTGACGTGCCACTGCAACGGCAATCGGTGCCTTAAAGATGGATACTGCACCAATGGCACGTCCTGTGCACCGGGATGGTTTGGTCCGGCCTGCCAATACCGTAAGTCTACTGTCAAACGATGTTGTTGATTTCCGGACACGCCAATACATAGGTCTGCTTTCAATTCAGGATTCTGTCCGTTGTCCCAATTGCGCAAGTTTGCTTGTAAATAAATAGTTTGGTGCAGGTAGCCAACACTGTAAATCTATTTTAAATTTTGATGTTTCGTCCGGTCTGCCTATAGCGTTAGTCTTCGGTCAATAGATGGTTTTGTACAAAATGCCAAAAATGTACGTCTTCTGTCAAAGGTGGTTGCAACGGACTGCCAACACAGTAAGTTTGCTCTCGAATGATGCCAGCCAAAAACTTATTACGTCAATAAATAATGTATGTCTGTATATAATGTGATTTGAAGAACGTCAATATTCTCCCAGAAAATATGGCCTTTAGCGGACAAGGGTTAAGTCACGTGCTCATTGACAGCGATGATAAGACTTGCTACAGAAACAAACAGAAATCCGAGACATTAAAGCTGCAGTCGTCGACACTCTTTACTTGGTTAAGAGTTGTCTTCCACAGTAAAGGTAGGTAACTGCGATAGAGTTGGAAAGGGCTAAGTAAAAACGCTTCTGGGGAAAGAAATAAATGTAAACTATAAAAACAAAATAATTAAAACTTATTTTTTTTAAAAATATAAATTCGCTTTTAAAACATGTCAGCCTTAGTTTAATTAATTTGGTCATACATTTCTCAGCTCAAGTTTTTGGAGTATCGATAGAAATTAAATCTGGGGCTGACAGAGTTGCGACCAACTTGTCATGCGGAACCTGGAGACACGCTGAAAAGACGCACTACAGCTTGGACATCTTTTGTTCCAAGGATCACGTTGTCGACAGCATCAAGCTAACCTGGAAAGGTTACGGAAATATTTGTTCAGTTTACGTCAATGGAGGTAAACAATTTTAATACATGATGATGAATCTTGTGATATGTTTAAGATGTGTTGGTTGATGACTTGGTCAAATAGAAATTGAATGTGTTTGAGATGTGATTGAGTTTATAATGTGATAGTTTACTATGTAGATGAATTAAGGGAAGGATGAGTTTAGGCCGTTAGGCCATTATATAGCTGTTTTTAAATGATGTTGATGGTGTTAATATATCTGTGTTTAGGTTGTGTTTGTTTAGGATATGGATAAGTTAAGAATTCGGGTATTTAGGGTATGTTTGTTTAGCATGTGCATGAATTTAGGATGTGGTTGTTACGTTTCTGTCTGCTTATTATTTTTATAATATTAAAATGTGTAAGTTTGGATGTGGATTAGTTTATTTTGGATGAATGGCAGTTTACTTTGGTAGATAGAACAATCTATTGCTCTTTTAAAAATGCATATAAATGGGATTCATTCTGTAATGTTTAATGATATACTTTGAATGTGCGTCTTAACATGTGTAACTATAACGTAGATGTTTGTTTCCTACAGTCTGTACCATACAATTCAAAGCATAGCTCCGTCTATGTGTACCTATAAAGTATATGTTTGTTTCCTACAGTCTGTACCATACCATTCAGAGCATCGCTCCGTCTGTGTATCCATAACTTATTTGTTTGCTTTCTACAGGCCGTAACATACACTTAAGGTCATCGCTCAGTCTGTGTACATATCACTCAGCCGAGCATGCAGGATTGTTATTCGACGGTGATAAGAACGTCAACTCCTGCTTCCAGCTGAGTAGCGAAATGAATCAGATCCAAGTGTCAACACGACGAAATGAAATCATCACAGGAATTAACATTTACAGAGGTTTGTGATAAATAACAACAACATCATTATTATTATTATTTACATTTAGAGATGTGATGTAAGCTTAGCAACAAAGCCGTCATTGTTATTATTAACATTTACAGAGGTGTGAAGTAAAATAACAACACAATCATTAATATTATTATTATTGATTGTATATTGTTACACGTATGTAAAATTCATTTGATAAGAATTCATTTTTAAAACGATTCGAATAGTAAAATGGACATCAGCTAAGATAACTCTATATTGCCTTCATTGAAGTCAACTTTTTTTTTTCAAAGTGTAATAAAATGTTGCCGACTATCACTCACACGGCAGATTACTGGCTTAGTTTTAATTGATGGCGTAACAAATCATCGCCTAACATAAAAGTAACAATCCGTAACACAAAGTCTAAAACAACATTAGGATATTTATACCCAGAAACGCCAGCAATACAAATTACTTCTAAAACAGATACACACTCACTCTCTATACAAAATTCGCTAAATATTAATTCTCTACATCGATAGTGGGCACAATAATTTATCAGCGATTTTTCATACTAAATATATAATTAAATAAATACAATTTGCTATTATCCTGAGTAGATTACAGTTTTGAAATTAGCAGTATTCACAAAATAGTGATCACCAAAAATACAATTTATATGTCTTGTTCCATACGATGTTGACACAGTTACATCCGATTCGAACGGACTCAATATCAAGTGCCTGAATGCAATGAACCGTAAGGTATGCGAACACGCTTTGGGTTCGTCCCAGCTCAACATCACTTCAATCCCAATCATGAAAAGTCAGGTCTCTACTTTGTTGTTAGCCTTGACATCTGCCTCCATTACATTGTGCGAGATTCAACTCTACGGAGGTAAACTTTCGCTTTAACCCAGATATGTTAATATGTAAAGCATAAAATATGTGTAGAATATCTTACTATAGCTGACCAAGAAGTGTGCTTACATGAATAGGGTCAAAGGAATATATGTGTTTACTTATATGCCATGCCAGACTCAATCAAATGCACAAACAAGTGATCCCAAAGACTAATATTTGTATTATTTGCATTTTTTTGGGGGGGATGGGGTGGGTAGGGGGCTTGATCTTAAACGATATTTACCGTTCCCAATCGTTCTTTTCATTTAAAGTTATTGTAACAACTCAATAATATTACTGTTTCTGATTGTATTTAATGTGACATAGTCGTAATGTGATTTTTTCGTAATATGACAGTCGTAATGGTCCAGTCTTAATGTGACATGGCCTTTATTTGTAATGGTCTTTAGTGACAGGTTTTCATAATTTAAAACACAGTCGTAATGTGAGACGGTCGCAATATAAACTGCTTGTAATGTCAGACATTCGAAATGCATCACAATCATGTTGTGACAAGTACTTAATGTGACACGATTATAATGTGACACGCGTAATAAGCCACATTTGTAATTTAACATATTTGCACAGTGACAAATTCTTAATGTGAAAATTTTTATTATTACACAGTTGTATTTTGAAAAAGTTGAAATGTGACGCAATTGTAATGTTAATGTAAATTTGACACCACATGGCATGAACTTCATGCTTTCATTTGCATGTTTAGCCTTGTCCGCGACCTATACACGTTACGACCAATCTCATTGGACTAAGTTCTCATTTATCCTTTCCCCTTTCCCATGCACTTAATCTCCCAGCAACCTTTTTCTCTCAATTTTCTTTTGCTGCCAACTCGGATTCTACTTTTCAGCTAATTGCTACTTTTTTGTTTAAATCTGTATTTTTTATAATTTTTTTTTTTTTCGCTGACGACAGCTTTCAGCCGACATTTTTCTTGTTTCGTTGCAGCCCTTTGCAGGTTATCACATACTTTATTTAAATTAGTTCCTTCTGTCTAACCTAATTGTTGTGTCTCCCTCTTATTACCTGTTGTAATGTGACACGGTTTTAATGGGTTAAGTTAAATCTCTTAGATTCCGAAATCGCTATTGAAAACAAAAAATTAAAAAAAAAATAATAATTTTACTTTGCAATGTTCCTAGACGTGTTATTAATCACTCAATATTTTGCATTTTCTAATCTCACGCCGTTGTTTCTTTTCATTGGAAAAAAAAAAATATATATATGTTTACAGGGTTACACGATTGTTGAGAAAGTGATTGCTTTTTTAAAAAAATTTTTTTTCTTTTCTTTTTTTAATTTTTTTTTTTTGTGTGTTATATGATTTACGCTAATCAAACATATATTTCCAAGGATAAAAATACATGTCCCCATTGCCAAGAAAGTCGTAATGTCTCATTTAGTTGAAAACATTGACTATAAATTCAAAGAGAAGTTGATGGTTTCAATGAATTTATACAAAAATAAAATAAACATTCATTATGCAATGGTCATGGTTACAGACAAGTCAAACCGTATTGCTATGGTTACCGACACTGCCAAAAGTATTGCCATGGTTGCTGACACTGCAATCCGTATTGCTATGGTTACCAACACTGCAAACAGTATTACCATGGTTACCAACAATGTGAACAGTATTGTCATGGTTATCGACACTGTCAAACGTATTTGTTTTAAAACATGACATCACTCTTTTTGGTAAATGTTTTGACATCGGCAAACTCAAATGAAGACACTCTAACGCTGATTGTATTTCTTCTTGGAATCAGTTTTCCCAGACTCTTCGGGTCTTCTAATAAATCCAGACTATCTAATTATAATGAATCACCAGTTTTGAAAGCCGTGTGACAATCCTCAGTTATCTGCTAACATTATAAAAAACCGTAGTTGTTGAATCTCATACAGAAAGCGAAAAATATCAACGTTAGCTTGCCGTTGTTTCAAAAGTTGTTTTTTTTTTTTTTTTTTAGAATTTAACGTCCCAGAGGATTGGGCTAACAGAGCAGGCTGAGACTAGTGCAGGGTACAAACAGAGTAGTGTGCTCACTGAGCAGGGAGCCAAGAGAGCATGTGTAACAAAAAGAGGGTGCCATCAATGCACTATGTTATCAGAGCAGGATGACATCAGAGCAGGGTGACATCAGAGCAGGGTGACATCAGAGCAGGGTGACATATGAGCAGGGTGACATCAGAGCAGGGTGACATCAGAGCAGGATGACATCAGAGCAGGGTGACATCAGAGCAGGGTGACATCAGAGCAGGATGACATCAGAGCAGGGTGACATAAGAGCAGGATGACATCAGAGCAGGGTGACATCAGAGCAGGGTGACATCAGAGCAGGATGACACCAGAGCAGGGTGACATCAGAGCAGGGTGATACCAAAGAAGGCTGCCAACAGAGGAGCTTGCCAACAGAGCATGGTGCCACAAGAGCAGGGTCTCATTAGAGCATTGTACCAACGGTGCAGTGTGTCAACAGAGCATTGTTCCACCAGTTTAGTGTGTCAACAGAGCATTTTGCCACCAGAGCAATTTGCCATTAGATCATGATTATCTTATTCAGTGCAGTGTGCCAACGTAATTTTTTGGCGAAAAGAGCAGTGAGCCACCAGAGAATGGAGCCAACTTAGCATTGTTCCATTAAAGCAGTTTGCAATCAAAGCAGTATGCCAACACAGCAGTGTGCCAACGGTGAATTGTGCCAGCAGAGAACTATGCAATTAGAGCAGGATACAAAGAGTGCATTGTGCCATTAGAGCAGGATTTTTTCAGAGCTGGATGCAACCAGTGAAAGAAGCCAACATAGCTTAGTGCCAACAGAGCAGTGTGTCAAGTTTGCAGTGTGTCAAAAGAGAGCGGCGTACCAACAGAGCGTTGTGCCAAATGATAATTGTGACAAAAGAGCAGTGTGGCAACAGAGCAGTGTCTCAATCCGTTGTTAAAAACATTTTCAGGTTGACGATACCCATTACCGATAACTCTGTACATTGTGGAAATGTTTGCAATTTAAAATATCTTGTTTATCTTCATAACAACTGATAGAGACAGGCTTTTCTCTTCTCATAGCAATTACTTCCTTAGAATATTACAAATCACATTGGTATTAACAAAACCATATGTGTAAATCTAATGATTTTCAAACTATTAGTAAATGCAACAATTATGATGCAATCCAATGACTCAAAAACAAATGTTTATATTTCTGCAAGTGGCAATGACGTTAATGTTTCAAATATGCTCCGATACATGTTTGTATATTCGTTAATT